GGAAAGAGAAAGAAAAAAAAGAAGCGCCCGCGGGACGTAATATAAAAGCGAACGAACCCAGGACGAAGCAAAATGTGGAAGAAGCGAAAGGACGAAAGTCAGTTCCGATTGGTCGGCCGAAAGAAATTTATTCACCTCCGCAAACAAAATAACCGTGATATATTTTATTATTAGATATTTACAAAATATCACGATATTATTAAATAATAATATAAGAAAAAGATTAAAATTAAAATCATTATTAAAAAACTCAAATATTTTTTAATCTATTTTTAAAAAGTAGAAACTTATCAGTTTACATAATAATTTTTTTATGTATTATAAATATTACATAACTAATACATATACATATATGTATATTAGGTAGTATATAATATTTAAATATAACGTAAATTTTTATTAATTTCTTTTGTTTAATCTTTATACAAAATGCATACGTTAATTTATCTCCTTTATCTCATCAAGTTTTTTTATTAAGAATATAGAGAAGAATAGATTATGGAGTCGCACGTTGAGCAAATCTGCAGTTTTATATCATGTAATTACATTGTACTATTAGTCGTTAACCGCAAATGTTAACGGCCGCACAAATTGCTTCGAACACCCGTGTAAAACGCGTGGAAGAAATTCTCAAAGCGTAAAATGGCTAAGGGAGAAAGCTGGGAAATGAAGATCATATATCTTAGATTCTCTTAGAACATTTCGCAGTAACGCTGAAGAAGTCTGTGACATAAGAACTACTTTTCAAATGATTTCTTACGATAACATTTATGAGCAACAAAATGAATTGTGGAGTATATAAACGCACATGTTCTCACTTCATTTTATAATAAATATGACAAAAAACTATATTATATATTTATATAATTGTGTGTATACATATATGTTATAAAATAATACAATGTAGTTTTTTTCTTTATTATTTTTCTAATTAAGTGTAAAATATTTTTTAAAATATTTACTTTTCCCTTAAGAAGATTTTATTTTGCAAGTATACGCGATTCGAATTAATTATACGCGAATGTAAGACGGATGGAAAATTTGAAAGCAAATCTGCGTTAAAAAAAAAAAAAACTTAAGATGCTAATAACTTCTCAGTAATATATTATGATATAACGATCGATATCGTAGTGTGTGCGAACGTCATGTATTTCGATCCGTTACACGGGATATTACATGTCTACAACATCGCCGGTAGGTTCGATGATACTGTTGCCGGTAACGGATCCGCGAAAACGCGGACACGTGCTCCGGGCTAGAGATGGATTCGCCAAACAAGACGTCCGCGCGACACAGACAGTGGGCATAAAATTTCCCGGTATCGCGCCAGCAGGCCTTGTCCTGGCAAAGAGACGTGTTGTGGAAACAAGGGATACACACCGTGACGTGCCGTGCTCACGCATCGATCGCACGGTGATCTCACGAACGTCATGCACGAGCTTCACACTTCTCGAATGACGCACAGATCCTTTTTTTTTTTTTTTTTTTTTTTTTTTTTTTTTTTTTACCAGTCACGAGTTCAGCAAAAAGTTATTTCATCAACAAAAATCAAAGTGCAAGAATGAGATAAATTGCATATGTATTATGGTATTCTAGTATCTATATGTATATCTGTATATCTATGTATGTATAGAGTATCTATATATAGTGTAGAGAGATATATCTAAATATATTTACAGCAAATTTTTTTTACAAATTATGGACTTAATTGTTCTTGCATTAAAAATATGAGTGATAAGATTGATATCAAAGTTTTCAAAATTGAAAATTCGATAAGATATTCGTCCATAAATAATATTTTACTCATATATTAAGTTCCTGGAAAATTTAATAAAAATTTGATACATTACAGATATAATAAAAGAAAGAGGGAAA